TAGTAGTGGAAATGAGACATGTTGAAGCTTCATTCTTTTAAAAAAAAGGATCAAAGCACCTGATAAACATTATTAGAATAGAAACTCTTTGAGATCAAAGATTATGTACTATTTATCTTTGCATTCCCCTCAGCACCTAATAAATGTTTAAATGAATTGAGTTCTTAGCTTTTCCTTGTCAACAATTTCCTCTATCATAAGGTAGAAGTACCAATGAACAAAATTATTCTCCCACTTAATTGTGACCAACCAAAAAGAAGGTGTTGGTGAAGTAGCAGTGACCATGATATTGTAGCCAAATAATAACCAAGCTCTTGATCAGAGCTTACAAAATCAGTTTTCAAAAAAAATTCAGAAATTAGTAATAGGTATGGTCACACGGCCACAAAAATGAGAAAGACCTGGACTCAGAATTCCAGATAATACCAGATTTCACTTTCAATGAATATGAAGAGTAAGAGGAATTCCTTGGTGAACTGCAAAGATCATGCTGTATCTGTGTCTTTGCCATTGGAAGCAACAGCTGGGCAAGCCAAAATTCCAGATCAACCTCCTTCCTAGAAGAGGCAAAGATGGGAGGGCTAGAGAGAAGCTACTCCAGTTCATAAGGGAGAATGAAGTGCTTCTTCAAAGAATGGCATAATGGCTCATAAAGAAAAAGAAAGAAGAGAACCGGAGGAACCAGAGGAAAATTCTAAGTTGTGTAAGGACACTAGAGGGTCAAGAATGTGACTCAGAGAAAAATAGGGAGGACCATGAACCTTATGAGCTATTAGCTATAGGTGTGAGAGGTAGAGGGTAAACTTATACCTTCTGAGGAGAAAGTAACTTGTGCTCCCAGTCCTGAAAATTGTAACCCACAGATGTCACCAGAAATAGTCACTGATCCCCCAGGAATAGAAGAAGATACAGGTATTGACAGTTAGTGATTTCCTACTAAGGGAAACCATGACAATCATATGCTGACCTAACCTATAAATAGAGAGGTCTACTCTCTAACCTAGATGAACCTCTGGCAGGTGACAGAAAAATTCCCAATACTGGTCAAAATCAACCCAGTAATAACTACCCACATACCTACCACTGATGATTAACTTGGAAGGGGGAGGGGGAAGGAGAGAAAAAAGCTTATGAAAAAGAACTTAGAAAGCAGGACCAAGGATCACGAAGTCCTGTCAATAAAGTGACAATGGGGACATAGGTGGCATTTACACCCTAAATTCCAAATTTCTCAAGTTCCTTCCAATGAGGCAAATTTTGGCTCACTCATGCCTGCCCATGTGTGCTCCTTTTGTCTATACCATCGCATCCATTCAACACAAGAGATCCTGCTGCCATTTGAAGTAACTTGCTGATTAAGAAGATGAATCCAAGAATGGGGTTTCAATTGTTAGGCCATGATTAAAATCTAACAATGATGATTTCTTGGCCAGAGATAGAATGTACCTTATAAGAATTGGTCAAATGTATTTGTCTGAAGTCATATACATCCAATCAAGAGCCCTATGAAATGAAATGGGTGAAGGCTAACCATGCATATATTCCAAGTCAGATATCACAGGAAAATGAATACACAAGTAGATAGAACTAATAATTCACAGATGATCTCTTATTGGGGATTACAAAGTGAATTCTTCTTCATAAATTCTGTAGGGAGTATGGCTTGTTTCATTTTGTGGCTTTGTATCCTTGACACTTAACATAGTATCTGGCACATAGGAGTTACTTAATAAATAATTGTTGATTGATTGGACAATGCTTAGACCAAATGGCCTCTGAGGACCCAACTCTAATACTGAAAGCTTGTGATTTGAGAGAGTCATTTGATACTAACCTAATTTCTCTTTTCTGCTATAAACACCACTTACCTATTTTACACAGAACATGTGAACATAGAATCAAGGACTAGAAGGAAACCTAGAAGTCATCCAGTCCGATCTCTTCATTTAGCAGATTAGTAAATAGAAGAATTTAGGTATTTTCTTGATGTTACACATGGATTTAATAAAAAGAGCTGGATTTCAATTCTAGATCCTCATTCAATTTGTGCTGTTGTTGCCACTGTACCTTAGTCTTTCATTATGGGGTAGTGGGGAATTCAAGGATCTGAGAATCAGACCAAGGCTGCAGTTTGCCACTAACATGCTGTATGAACTCCATTTGGTTCTTTCATCTATTTGAGCCCAGTTTCCTCTTCTGTAAAAACAGACTTTAAAAAGTGATTATTTTAATGTCCCTTAGAGTTTTAACATTCAGTGACCACACAGTACTCCTTCTGCCATGCCTCAATATATCTGGCCCATTACTCAACCTTTCTTTGTGCCCTCTCATCTCAGAAAGAGAGATGCTCTTATTTTCCAAGACTAATGCCTTTCCATAATCCATTAATCCCTTCTCTCATTCATTTCCAGTGAAGAAGAAAAGGGGTACATGTCTAAGAGACTGATTAGAATGCACAAAGAGCTCATTTAGCATCTGGAATTTTTTAAAGACACATATAGAACATAAAGAAAAATTACCTGCAAGGGTAGGTAATTATAGATGATACAAAATAATGGCACAGTCCTGCAAGAATAATGTCAAAAAGTGTCCAAACTCCAAGTTATCTGAAGTTGGCAGTGAATTCTGAGAACATGAAAAAGAGCTTTAAAAAATTGGAACCAACCGGATACTTTCTAGAGCTAAACACAATAATAGCAAATTTCATTTTGAGAAAGAAAAAAATTCTCATTTTGAGAAACTCCATTTTTAGATTCATCTTCTTAATCAACAGGTTACTTTCTATCTTCAAATGGCAGCAGGACCTCCTGTGTTGAATGGATGGGATGGTATAGACAAAAGGAGCACACATGGGCAGGCATGAGTGAACCAAAATTTGCCTCTTGGAAGGAACTTGAGAAATTTGGAATTTAGGGTGTAAATGCCACCTATGTCCCCATTGTCACTTTATTGACAGGACTTTATAATCCATGGTCCTGCTTTCTAAGTTCTTTTTGATAAGCTTGTTTCCCTCCCCAAGTTAATCACCAATGGTAGGTATGTGGGTAGTTATTATTAGACTAAGTTTGACCAATGTTGGGAATTTCTCTGTTACCTGACAGAGGAACATCTAGGTAAGAGAGTAGATCTCTCTTTTTGTAGATTAGCTCAGCATATGATGTCATGGTTCCCCTTAGTAGGAAATCACTAACCATCAATATCTGTATCTGCTTCTATTCTATCACAAAAGAAATAATGAAAGGGTAATGGTGCTTCTTGACTTCTAATAACATTACAAAGAAAGTATCATCAAAACAGTTGGATATTGATTAAAAATAGAAAAATAGATAAATGAAACAGACTAGGTAAAAATAATTAGAAAGAATTTTATTCAGTAACTGTTTTTGTTTTAAGTCTGAGAATGTAAACTTCTTAGTGAAGAGCTCACTCTTTATGAAAATGGCTGGGAAAACTGGGCAGCAACATGGAAAAAATTAGATTTAGACCAACATACTGCACAACATGTCAAAATAAGCTGAAAATGAATACTGCAAGTCAGACTTTAAAAATGTGAAGAGAACCAAAGGAATGCTTTTTCACATCTAAGGCAAGGAGGATAGTTCTTTATCAAAACAGGGTCAGAGGCAAACACGAAAAATAAAATAAATATTTTTCATAAAATTTAATGGAAAAGTTTTTTAATTAATGAAATCAATGCAACTAGGCTAAGAAGTAGAGCTGTTGAATGGAAAAATATTTGCATACAATACCTCTGATTAGTGTCTGATATTTAAGCTACAGAGAATGAATTAAAATACGTAAGACTGAGAGCCATTTTCCAAAGTATAAATGGTTAAAGTATATGAAAAAATTTCTTAAGAGGTAAATTGAAAACTATTTAACAAATACATGCTCCAAATCACAATCATGAGAAATACACATGAAAACAATTTTAGGTTTCACTTTATATCCAGAAAACTTACAGAAATAATAAAAGATGGAAATAGTTAAGAGACCATAGAAAATAGCATACTAATACATTTTAAGGAGATCTATGAATTTGTCCAACCATTTTAGAATGCAATTTGGAGTTATGTGATCTTTGACACAGAGGTCCTGCGATGAAGCACATACACATAAAGAGGTCAAAAACAGATCAAAGGGTTTCATAATGCAACAAAGATATTCATAGCAGTACTTGTTCTGGTAATGAAGAACTGGATACAAAGGAAGGTTGGGGGATGGCTAAGCCAACTATGGTCCATGAACATAATAATAGGATTTTACTCTATTGCAAGAAATAGCAAATAGGAAGAATTCAGAGATGTATGAGGAAATTTCTATGAATTGATTCAGAATGAAGTCATCAAAGCCAGGAAAATAATATACATGACTACCAAAAAAAGTAAATGGAAAGAAAAACAACAACAAAACTGAATCCTCTGTAATTGCAATGACCAAACAACCTCAAACACGAGATGAGAAGAATGCATCTGTCTGCCCTTTGTATTCAGAGGGGAACTGTGCAGGTGTGATCTTGCATACACTACTGGATTCTGTTGGCATATTTGGTTTATTTGTCTGAATTGATTTTTTTCTCTTTCTGTGTTAGTTTTTGTTACAAAGGGTGGCTCACTGGGGGGGGGGGAACATGTTCAAAAATGAAGGTAATGTAAAAGCATATTATAATCAATAGAAAAGTTTTAAAATAATAATAAAAACTAAATTAAGGGCAAAGTAGGACCAAAGAAAAGATTGGACCCATTGATGTTAAGGGGAAATGGGAGGGTGATAAAATGCAGAGAAAAGAACATGGTGAGGGTGAAAGTAAAGAGAAAGGGAGCTTTCTTGCACAAGTACACTCAGAACTCCACGGTCCCAGGGTACATCAAGTAAACAAGCATTTTGGCCTACTCTGTGACCAGCACTGTGAAATACCCCAGAATAAGTCATAGCCACTGATGTACACAAATGGATCTCTTGAAAATACTGATCACATTGCTTGTGTGTTTTTGCTTCAGATTCTTTTACAGGGCTCATCAACATAATGACCGATATTATTTGGCGATTCACAGGGGATTTCATGGCACCAGATTTGGTCTGTCGGGTGATTCGCTACTTACAGGTATACAGATAAGTGAAGTTGAGAGATTAAATTTGTCTTTTGCACCTTCAAATGCCCACCAGGAGATACGCGAAAGGGAATTTAGATGTATCACTGAAATTCATCCAAGTATTTCTATGATTTCAAGAAATTGTCATTCTAGCTAAAAGACTTGTATTTTGGATAAATATTGATGTAGTAGAACAAGAGATTCATAGAATCACAGATCAGAATTGAAATAGATATCAGAACACCATCCTTTGCCACTGCTGACATGCAGAAAAATAGATGTATGTATGTATGTGTATGTGTGTATTTTATTGTATATAGGTATGAATATATGCACACATTTATATGCACACAAATGTACATTATATTTACACTTATAAATTAATATAGATGTATATGTAATATAGATGTATCATATATCTAGATCTATTATACACATATGTGTATATATATATATGCACATACACATACCCCCACACTTACACACCACACACACATACACATGCATATAGATCTGTGTATATCAATTTTATATTATTCACAATAGTGACATAACATATTGTTATATAATATATTTAATATATGCATAGTACATATAGCATGCAATATATTGTAATTTATATATTACTATAATATATTTAATAATGTATAATATAAAGTTTATATTATATACACACATCTATATACATACATATACATATATGTATGAGGATTGCTGACTATATATGCATTGTATATGTAGGTATGTGTGTATATAATGTATATGGGTATGTATATATGTATGTATGCATGTGTATATGTGTGTGTGTATATATATATACATATATACACACATATATATACATACATATATATACACACACACACTATATATATATATATATAAAAGTCCTCCCTTATAAGCTCCTCTAGGGTAGGGTTTAATCTTTGTTTTTACAGTTTCTATACCCAGTATTTAGCAAAGTAATCAAGAAATCAATCAATAAACATTTATTAAGAACCTCCTATGTTCCAGACACCGTATTAAGCACTGGATACCTAGCATATAGTAAGCACTTAATAAATGCTCGTCCTTCATTCATTCTTTCATCCATTTACTCATTAACAAGAATCCCCAACATTCCTGACAAGGAGTCCTCCAGCCTTGGCATGAAGATCTCCAGCCAGAGAGGACTTACAATTTGGGACCTTTCATTTAAAATAGCACATTAAATCAAGTTCTGGAGCATCAGGGCCAACAAAAAGTCAGGATGAGACTTTTTTTCAGTCCAAGACAACTAAGGAGGTGGGCAGAAGAGGTCTGTGACACCAGGGTGGGGGCCAGTCCAAAGTACACATGGTAGAAGCACCAGCAATGGGCCTTGGAGGCAGCTACAACAATGGCTGCAGCAGCTGTGGGGGATCTTAGTTCAGAGATGGTAAGAGGTATCAAGCAACTAGTCAGAAAGCTATTACAGGGGCCCATGAACTGGCACTGGGTGCAGAACCCTGTTGCATTACCCATTCATAGCTCCATGTTACAGTTCAAGGACATAAAGGTACACCACTTGCAACAGGGGAGAAGAGGAGCTTTCTAGGAAAAGACCGAAGTGCATACCAGGAGAGCAGTTACCACACCTCTTCCAAGATCAAACCACCTTGGAAGCATTGAAAACTTGTAGACTCCCAGAACTAGCTCTGAAAAGAGCAGCCAAAGGGCCTAAAGACAACAATGTGAAACAGCTACAAGCAAAGCATGAAAGAAAACTGCAACACATTTGCCCAACAAGAATTACTGGATGAGCTTTAAAAAAAGAAACTATAGTCATAGAGGAAAATTTTGAGGAAAGAAATGAGAGTAATACAAAAAAAAATATGAAAAGAGAATTAATAGTTTCATAAAAGAGACACAAAAAATCACTAAAGAAAATGATACCTTTAAAAGCGGAATTAGCCAAATGGGAAAAGAAGTACAAAGATTCATTTAAGAAAAAATTCCTTAAAAATTAGAATTGGGCAAGTGGAAATTAATGATTCCATGAGACATCAAAAAACAAGAAAACCAAGTCAAAAGAATGAAAAAGTAGAAGAAAGTGAAACAACACCAGAAAAAGAACCAATCTGGAAAATAGATTAAGGAGGAATCATTTAGGAATTATTAAACTACCTGAAAGTCATGATAAAAAAAAAAGAGCTTAGACATCATATTTCAAGAAGCTATCAAAGGAAAATTGCCCCAATATTTTATAACCAGAGGTTAAAACAGAAATGGAAAGAATAAATTTACCACTTCATGAAACAGACCCCAAAATGAAAACTCCTAGGAATATTATAGCCAAATTCCACAACTCATGGGTCAAGGAGAAAATATTGTAAGCATCCAGAAAGCAGCCATTCAGATAACATGGAGCCAAAGTCAGATCACACAAGATTTAGCAGTTTCAGCAATAAAGAAGCAGAGGGCTTGAAGTATGATATTTTGGAAGGCAAAGGGGCTAGGATTACAAGCAATAATAACCCACCCAGCAAAATAGTATAATCTTTCAGGGTGGGGAATGGATATTTAATGAAATAGAGTACTTTAAAACATTAGTTATGAAAAGACCAGAGCTGAAAAGAAAATCTGACATTCAAACACAAGACTCAAGAGAAGCATAAAAAGGTAAACAAGAAAAAGAAATCATAATGGACTTATTAAGGTTAAACTGTTTACATTCTTGTATGGAAAGATGATACATATAACTTAAAAGCTTTACCATTATTAGAGCTAGTAGAAGTAATCTACATAGAGAGCACAAGTGTAAGTCAGTTATATTGGGATGACCTCAAAAAAAATTAAGGGATAAGAAAAAAATATGCACCAGGAGGAGGAGAGGAAGAATTGGGAAATTTATCTCACATAAAAGAAGTGTACAAGCTTTTACATTAGACAGGGAAATGGGACAGTGAACACAAGCACTATTTGAACCTCACTCTCAGAAATTGATTCAAAGAGGGAAACACACACACACACACACACACACACACACACTCAATTAGGTATAAAAATCTGTCTTAACCAACAGGAAAATAGGAGGGAAAGGGGATATAAGAAGGGGAGGGTATTAAAAGGATAGCTGATTTAGTGTGGCAGTGGTCAAAAGCAAAACAGACTTTTGAGGAGGTACAGGGTAAAAAAAAAAAAGACAGATAAGCAGAAAAAATTGGATGGAAGGTGATGCACCATCAGTAATCATAACTGGGAATGGGAATGGGGTGAACTCACCCATAAAATGGAAGCATATAGCAGAATGAATTAAAAACCAAAATCCAACGATACATTTTTTACAAAATGCACTTGAAACAGAGAGATATGTGAAGTAAAAAAGAAGAGGCTAGAGTGAAATCTATTATACTTCAGCTGAAGCAAAAAAAAAAAAAGCAGGGATAGCAATCATAATATCAGACAAAGAAAAAGTGAAAACAGACCTAATTAAAAGAGATATGCAAGGAAACTGTATTTTGCTTAAAGCAAACACAGACAACGAAGTAATATCAGCACTAAATATATGTGCACCAAATGGCACAGTATCGAAATTCTTAAAGAAAAAGTTAAATGAGTTACAGGAGGAAATAAACAGTAAAATTATACAAGTGAGGGAAGTCATCACCAGACTGGAGGAAAACATTAACATAACATAACAGTCTGTATACAGGGGTGTTGTGAATTTCACACAAGACCGTGAATGTAAAGCACTTTGTAAACCTTTTAAAGAGCTTCCCATCCATGATCTCGTTTGAAACACACAACACCCCTGCATATTGACTGTGTAATCATGTGCAAATCATTGGATCTCTCAGTGCCCCCATGAAGTCACTGAGTCTAGAAGCTGAGGAGCAGGTGCTGATGTGTATCAGTAGAAGGGGCTGCCTCATCTGTCATTCTCTAAACGATTACAAGCACAGGGTCACAAATCTGCTTAAAATCTTCATCATCATCAAATCGTTGGCCAGGAAAATTAGCTTCAGCTGTGAAAGTCAATTCCAGTTAAATGTGTCCTATAGATGCAGGGGTCAATAAAAAGCAGGGACCCTGTAGGCACCCAAGAGAAAGAACCACCCAGGAATGCTAGAACAAAATGTCACTACCCACCCATCTCTGTGTCCTGATGCATAGATAGCGTCCATCCCAGCTTCTGCACTGCATGGCATCTAGACTGATACCCATTCTACCCCAAGGTGAAATATCTAAGCTTCCAATCATCACCAGACATGGCTACCTTTTGCCAGGTATCCTTCCTTCCACCCTGAACATTGAAACACTCCATCTCCCTCTTTTTGCCTTCAGGTAGTGCTGCTATATGCTTCAACCTACGTCCTGGTGTCACTCAGCATCGACAGGTACCATGCCATCGTTTACCCTATGAAGATTCTTCAAGGAGGTGAGTTGGTTCAGTTGCTGCTAAAATGTAGCCAATGGAAAGAGTCACTAGGCACTATTTGGAGGGGGAACAATATTGTCGAGTGAAAGAATGATGTATTTGAAGTTTAGGAACCTGGATTTATATCTGGGCTCTGCTACTATTGCCCTGTGTGACCCTTCCAAGGGCAAGTAACTTTCTCTTTGGGGGTCTCAGGGTTTTTTATGTAAAATGAGGAGGCTGGGATTAGATGATCCCTTAGGTGCTTTCTAGCTCTCACTGACTCTGTGATGAAGTTTTCAACTGAGTCATTTTGGGACTCCCTCCAAAAAATTTTTGAATCTATAGCCAAAAGGAAACATAAACTGAGTTCATTTGATAGTGGGGGCAGGGTGGGAAGAAGGAGAGAAAATCAATATCTTGACAGGGACTGAAGTTAAAGGTTAAAACTCAAGATTTAGGCCCAATCATCCACCAAAGGTACAGAAGACATTCTCAACAAAACAATTAGACAGATCAAAACAGTAGATTCAACAGCTGTTACACTAAGAATGATGAATTTTAAAGAATTGTTTTCTGAGCCTTACTCATTCAAGAAACAATGATTGAGTATCCTCCTTAAGCCACTGAGCTCACTAAGAGTTGTAGGAAGAATTAAGACAAATACAAAATAGTCCCCTACCTTTGAGCTATTCAGTAGGTAGCGAAGAAAGCAATGCTAAGGTAAAATGATTTCAGAACATTTTCAGAGCAATATACCAATATAGTCAAGTTGGTACAATCCCAAGTGCAGTTGAGATTTGGAATAAAGGCTCATTGGAGGCAGGTGGGGTTAATCTGGGAGGGCTCATTGGAAGAAGTCTCTTTAAAGCTTTTGAAGTGTCAAAGTACATGAATTAGCAGAGAATAAATGGAGAACTTTTAGTCACAAAAAATGTTATCTTTGGGGGCAACAGTGTGGTCTCATGGGGGAAAAGAATCATCTCTGAAGTCAGAGGACCTGAAGTCAATTCCCATCTCTTACATTTAAAATTTATATAACTTTGAGTGAACCACTCAACTTCTGTAGGCCTCACTTTCCTCAAATGTAAAATGAAGTCATTGGACTAGATAGCCTCTGAGTTCCTTTCCAGTTCTATATAAAAGATCCCTTCATAGATAGAGTCATGGAAAGGGAATAAGTAAATTACATACAATGTAATAACAACAGACCTTTCTTTGGTGCTTTAAAGTGCAAAGAACCTCATATAATAATTTCATTTGAGTCTCCCTGCAACCCTTCAAGACAGGCACCATAGAGGGAAAGGACTAGATTTGGAATTCAAAGACTTGAGGTTGTCCTTTGGCTAGTCCTCACCTTTGCTATGTGGCCAGCTTGTCTTCTTTTCCAAGCAAGTCTTTGGAACAATGACAGTCTACTATCTCCATGAATCTGAACCAGGTGATTTCTCACTCTGGGATTCAATTTCCTCATCTGTGAAATGAGGAGTTTTGCCTAAAGGACCTCTACATTTCCTTCTATTCACTATGAGGAAACAGAATTCGATCAGTTAAATGACCTTTAATATTATATATTTAAGCAAGAAGGGAACTCAAAGGTTATCTAGCCCAACCCTCTCATTGTACAGACCATTGGGATCATAGACACAGAACTGAAAGAGACTAGAGGTCATGTAATTCAACTCCATTATTGTACAAAGGAAGAAACTGAGGCCCAGGGAGTTTCAATGACTTGCCCATTTAACATTAGAGGGAAGATTTGAACCCAGGCCTTCTAAATCCCTATGTTTTCTGTCACATTGCTTCCTAAAAGATAGCAAGCATAATTAATCATTAAATTCTAGAACATTTGACCTGGAAAAGACCTTGGGGATTATTAAGCCCAATTCTGGCTATAATATGAGACCTTGTTGGAAGTTAATGGAGAATAAGTTAGAAATGCTGGTTTGGGGAATATTATTGATAATGAGGTCAATCTTTTCAGAAATGTGGGAAGGTAAGCATGGCTTTGAAGATGGAACACAACACAGCCACTTAGACCCAACTTTCCTAAATGATGTGACAATGATTTGTTTCATTTTTATAAAGGGTTCGAAGGTAAAAGCCCAACAGAAGAGGTTAAATAGTCCTAACAAATCACTATACCAGTCTACTACATGCAATAGACATTCAACTCAACAAGACAAGTCATTTTAACATGCATTGATTAATTGCCTACTATGGGATAAACATTAGAGATACTACAGGAATTTCATGAAGTTGTAATCTCCTATATGGGTCCTTTCTCCAATGATTCAGATTGTAACACATTCCTGTCTATTCGTTTAGCACAACACTCATACATCTGTTCCCATCTGATTGCTTCAAGCGGTCCACCCAACATTCTAGGAGCCTTTCTTGAGTTCTCTTGACCTTTCAAGGAAACCAATTCAGCATCTAGAAGCATGCTGAAGAGGAAATAATGTTACATTTGGACTCAGAGGGTCTAGGTTCAAATCCCAGGTCTACTATTTATTCCTGATATGATCTTCAGCAAGATACTTCACCTCTCAAAGCCTCAGTTTTTCTCATTTGTAAAATAAAGACTTTGGACTAGATGACTTTTGAGATCTGTTCCAGCTCTAAAGCTATACCTTAATGATCCATCAGTGGTTATCCCTTGTTCTCACTGAGTGACCAGCCTGTCTTCTCTGTTGGCCGTATATTTCTTTGTTGGCATCCTTTGATGAAATACTGGAGTTACAGAGTTGAAAAATGGCAAAGGCCCCTGAGAATCTTACATTTTAGACATAGTTCCCAGTGTAGCTTCAATTTACAAACTTATTCTCAGAATTTCTGACTTTTTGTAAGGGGTGAAGAGAGGGGTGAAGCCAGTGATCTACATATTACTCACTAACTAATCCTTTGGTTTCCTTAAACAGAAAAGCAGGCAAAAGTCCTGATTTTCATTGCCTGGAGCCTCTCTTTCCTGTTTTCTATCCCCACTCTGATCATCTTTGGAAAAAGGAAACTAGCCAATGGAGAAACACAATGCTGGGCCCTGTGGCCTGATGATTCTTACTGGATCCCATACATGACCATCGTGGCCTTCTTGGTATACTTCATTCCCCTGATCATTATCAGGTAAGAGTCTGGTCCAGACCACCACAGGCACTTGTGGCCGCCTTCTCAGACCTGGCTCACATAGAGAAGGGTAGCCATCAGTCAGCATCATGCAGAGTGCTGTGGGAAGTACAGAAGAAATATGTCAATGAACGTTATTACAGCAATTTAATGGTTACAAAAGCAAATGCCTTATACTCGAAGAGTTTATGCTCTTGTTGTACAGACAAGATTGAATCATATGAGAGGATAAGCACACACTAAAGGCAGCAAGCATAGAAAGATGGACTGTATTTGCCAGTACAGACGTTGCTTTGAAGTGGGCAGGAAAGGCTTACTGGAGTGGGATGGACTTGAAACTCACCTCAAATTCCATTTTCTGCAGGAGGCCTTACCTACACCCTACCACTTCTGGTGGGAAGAACCCTTCCCTCTGAGATTATCATCCATTAACACTAGATAGATAGATAGATAGATAGATAGATAGATAGATAGATAGATAGATAGATAGATAGATATAGATATAATATAGATAGATAGATAGATAGATAGATAGACAGACAGACAGACAGACATATGTATAGGTATATATATGTATATATATACACACATACATATATACACACGCATGCACATATATATATATAAATTTATACAAATACATAAACATACATATATACGTCTTATATGCATGTAGTTATTTGCATGCTGTCTTCTCTGATAGAAGGTGAGTTCCTTGAGGGCAAGGATCATGTCTTTGCCTTTATTTGTATCATCAGTGCTTAGCACAGGGCTTGGAACGTAGTAAATGATTAATAAATGCCTTCTTGTTGATTTTGAAGACTAGGTGAGATTTGGACTTAAAGTACAGTCAATAATGGTTGGATGTTAATTTGAAAGAAGGTTTCTTGGGGAGTGCCCCCGGGGATCCATGTTTGACTCTGTGCTATTTACTACTTTCATTGACGACTTAAGTAAAGATAGAGAAGTCATGACTATCAAGTTTTCAAATGACCCCCAGTTAGGAGAGAAAATGAACATACTTTGGATGGGAGAGTCAAAGAGAACCTTACAAGATAGACCATTGGGCTGAATCCGAGGTTCAAACTTGGGTTCAAAGACATCAGTTCCCCAAGTACAAAGTAGAGAAGGCATGTTAGGCTACAGTCTTATGGGGAAAAAAGCTGGGGTTTTGGCAGGCTGCTTGCTTAACAGAATTCAGGGTTATGGTGTGTCAGTCCAAAACACTAATGAGATCTTGAAATGCATTCTGAGATATAGGCCTTTTGGAAATGGACCAGTGATCATCCCACCATCCTTGGCCCTCGTCAGACCTCAGCTGAAGAATCAAATTCAGTCCTGAGAGCCCCAGGTTAGGAAGGCCATTGATAACCCAGAAAATAGCCAAAGGAAGGAAACTAGAATGGCGAAGGTTCTCAGCCATGCCACACAAAGATCAATTGGAAGGAATTGAGGCATTTCTTCTGGAGAAGAGAAGACTCGGGAGAAAAAGGATAACTGCAAGAATTCGAAGGGCTATAAATCTGAAAGTAAAATCAATCAATCACATTTATTAGGAATCTGCAATATGCCAAGCACTGTATTAGACACTGGAGATACAAAGACAAAAATAGAACAATCCCTGCCCTCAAGAAGCATACATTCTATTGGGAAAGAGGGAATATAAATATAAATATAAATATATATATATATATATATATATATATATATACACACACACACACACACACACACACACGTGTGTATGTATTACATGTGCACATATGTATGCATCTACACATGTGTGTGAATTTCTGTATATGAAGAATAAATTTACAATAAATACATTGCTGAGAGGCTACTAACATTTTCTCAGATCAGTAAAGGAAGTAAAGATTCTACTGGGTGAAGAGTGGAACAAGCATTTATATAACACCTTCTATGTACCAGGCACTGTGCTAAGCACTTTTACAAATATTATCTCATTTGATCTTCACAAGAACCCTGGCAGATAAGTTCGGTTTGTGATCCCCATTTTATAGTTCTGGAAAATGAGGCAAATGGAAGTGGAATAATTTGCCTAGGGTCACACGGCTGCAGTGTGACTGAGGCAAGATTTGAACTTAGGACTTCCTAACTAATGGCATATACTTTATTCCCTGTACCACCAAATGCCTGGAGGGCAGGAGAGAATGTATTCTAGGCACTGAGGACTTCCAGTGAAAAGGCACAGAGATAGGAGAAGAATACTGTATTTGAGGAGCAGCAAGAAGCAGGTCATATCCAATCGGTTGTGGCCAAGTTGTAAGGGGTTTTAAAAGACAGAGGACTTTATTTTTATGAATGTGTTTTGTGCTAGAAGCAACATGGAGCCTCTGGGGTTTCCTAAGCAGGACAGGAAATAACATGGTCACATGTACACTTAACAAAAATCACTTTGGCATCTGTACAGGAGATGGATAGGAGTGAGAAGAGTCTCCAAGCAAGTAGACCAGTTAGGAAGGAAGCTACTGAAATAGTCCAGGCAAGAAGTAAAGAGGATCTGAACTAAGGTGGTATGGATGTAAGAACGAAGAAAGGGTGGTTGGGAAATATTAAGCTTGTTCTATCTGGCCCTAGAGTCCCAAATTGGGAAAATGGGTGAAAGTCGTAAGAGGAAAAAATTAAGCTTAATGTCAAGAAAACAACCCAAAGCTATACAAAAACTGAATGAGTTTTCCTGAAGAGTGGAGAACCATCTATCAGTGGGGGTCTTTAATCAAATGCAGGATGCCCACTTGTCATGGTGTTGTAGTGGAAATCTGAGGTGAGGGATGGATTGCACTAGAGGGCTACTGAGGTCCCTTGTAACTCTGAAGCCCTGTCATTTAATATGGGTCAAAGAAGGGAACACATCTTAGAAAATATTTTTCTAAATTATAAAACAAATTATATAAAAATTACAAAAAGTATGTGAATGGAAAAGTAGAAATTATATAAAAATATATTTTTTAAAATTGAGGCTGATAAGGCAGGGTGTTGATAGGGCAATGAGTAATCTCTCCGAACTAGCATGAAGGGTGTGCATCAGAGACTAGTGCAGTCTGTGAATCCTCAAAGCCTAGCATAGCTCTTGGCACTAATGGAAGCTTAAGAACTACTTTCTGTACATCACTGCCATTCTTACTTTCCTAATCGCCTAGTAACTGACTCCCTACTGAATCAATCTGTATCTGCCACTCTCGGCATTCTCTGAGGTTCCTACACCATCACTCACCCAGAAGGTCCTGCTCTGCTCAGGCAGCATATCTTTAATGGTTCTTTCATTCTGAATCCTTTCATTAGCCAGCCTTCGTCTTCATTGCTGACAGTCAGTCCTGGCTCAGTACCCTGGACAGCAGCAGGTCCATCTATCCCTCTACCATTGGACCCCTACGACTGAATGAAACTAGGATCAGCTTCAATCCCAGGCTTAGGCTGGCTAGAGCAGGCAGACAGGGGCTCCCCTGGCCACAGCCCAAGCTTATGGAATAACTATCAACCTTTTAGCTGCCTCACATCTTGCCAACTTTGCCGAGTGTAATTTACTATTGAGCAGATGTTGTACTTTGGTGCAGGAGAAGGTGTGGGGAGCATTGGAAGAGGGGGAATTCTGTTTTCAATACAGAAAACCTTTCATGTGTGCTGCTTTTGGTGGCTTGAGAGCATTTCTGAAAGATAAGAGAATGCTTGGGACCTTGAACGAAGCAGGAAGCAGGGGCAGCAATGCTGGGGTTTGGTTTGTCTGATCATTCTTCTCTTTATCATCTTAAAAGTCACAGAAAATATTTGTGTGTGTGTGTGTGTGTGTGTGTGTGTGTGTGTGTGTATGTCTGCATCTATATATCTATATATATACATGCATATATGTGTGTATGTATATATATGTGTATATATGTATATATGTAATACATATATTGTGTGTATATATGGTAGGATGAAGGGAGACTATATATATATATATATATATGTATGTATCTATCTATCTATCTATGTATGTATCTTCAGACTTGTCTCCCTTCATTTCACCATCTGAGATGGACTAGAATAGCACTAAATTTGCACCTTTTCAATCCATCAATTAACCACCAATAAGCATTAATTAAACACATTTTCATTGTCTTTGTATCCTCAAGGGGAAACAGAAAGGAAATTAGCATTTATTAAGCACCTACGGTGTGCCAGACACTGTGCTAAGACTTTATCGATATTATCTCATTTGATTCTCACAACAACTCTTAGGAGTAGGTGCTATTATGATTCCTGTTTTATAGATGGGAAAACTAAGGGAGATAGAGGTTAAGTCACTTATCCCGGGTTGTGCAACTAGCAAGTGTCTAAGGCAGGATTGGAACTTGAGTCTTCCTGACTCCAGGCCTAACACTCTATCCACTGTGCTATGGAAAGAAAGAAAAAGGAAGGAAGGAAGGAAGGAAGGAAGGAAGGAAGGAAGGAAGGAAGGAAGGAAGGAAGGAAGGAAGGAAGGAAGGAAGGAAATATAATAATAACTAGCTACTAGTTACCAGCACTTGTACAAGGGCAGCTAGGGTGGATAGGGTGGATAGAGTGATGGGCCTGGAATCGGGGAGACCTGAATTCAACTCTGGCCTCAGACACTTACTGTGTGACCCTAGGCAAGTCATTTAACCCTGTTTGCCTCAGTTTCCTCATCTGTAAAATGAGATGGATAAGGAAATGGAAAATCACTCCATTATCTTTGCCCCCCCCCAAAAAAGCCCAAATCTGGGCCACAAAGAATTTGACACACTTGAAACAACTGAACAAAGACAAACAAAAATTACATAATATTTTGAAGTTTTCCAAATGCTTTACAATTATTCCATTTTATCCTCACAACAATCCTGGGAGGTAGTTGCTGTTATTATCCCCATTTTACATATGAGAAAACTGAGGCAGACGACAGCTAAGTGACTTGCCAAAGGTCACACAAGTAGGAAGTATCTGCGGCTGAATTTGAACTCAGGTCTTCCTGACTCCAGATC